ATATCATATAATATTTATAATATCTAATATGTATTATATATTTAATATTTATAATATATAATATATTTAACATATTTAATGTTTATAATGTATAATATATATATTTAATATTTATAATATATAACATATTCAATATATATAATATTCATAATATACAATATATTTAATATATATAATATTTAGAATATATAATACATATAATATATTATATATCAACGATCATCAAAAAGTGTTAAAAAATCTGTTGAAAAGAAATATACAGAACCTACGCATTCCAATCTCACCGATCGAAAAGAAAATAAATATAAACAATATAATAATATACCACAAATAATATAAATATAAATAAATACGATCTAACCGTCATTTTTGAACCACCCTGTATACCTGAACGAGCGAACGCTCGCGGTACACAACCGGCCGGAATTCCCCGTAAGCTAGCACCGCGTCCTCCACTCCCCCACCCCCGGCTCGCCTCCCTTGTACACAAAATTGATGACGAACGCGGCTTGCCGCGCTGAAACGAAAGTTCCCGCGAACACGTAGAGACGGGGCGGCCCCGGCGGAGGCTCGTCGGCAAGCTGTACGGTAAGAGCATCGTCGTTGAACGTCCGATCATTCGTGTGTCGGCTCGACGAGCCGGCTTGGCAGGGGAAAAAGTATGCTCCCCGGTTCCGACACGGCAGCGGAAATTGAAGAAGTTGCGCGAGACGGCACTGGAAATTATTTATTACCCGGCCGTCGCCGTGCCGCACCACGTTCCGATTGCTACGGTTTTTAGGCGCGCCCGCGGTTTCCCGGGGCCGTTCGTTTGGCCCCGTGAAATTTAGTCCTCGATGCCAGCCTGTTTCCGCGCTTCGATCGCCTCTCCCTCCCCCCTCTTCCATCGTTTTTCTTCTCGCGCCGGGGGACGCGAGGAAATTAAACTTTTCCGAGGAAGCAGCGTCATCCGGCGTGTGCTTACCGCGAATCGGAATCGATAGCGACTTCCCGTTGCACCGTTTCCGCGACGACACAGTTTTCTACGCCGTGGACGCGGCCGCAGTGAATCGACGAGGTCGTTTCGGCATCGAATATTCGCTTAATTTCGTTGCTCGGTGCTCGCGCGTTGAGTGAGCAATAGCTTTAACCAGATTAAAATTTGTCCCGGTCAACGAGGGCTAAACACAGGTATAATTTCGTCTCGAAGTCGTAAGACCTTAAAAAGAACGATTCCCCGGACGATTCTAAGAAACTTTTTCCTTTGCGAAATTTCTCTATGAGGCTCCGTTTACGAGTTATTCGCGAAAAACGCGGGGCCAATCGGGCGGCGGCCGAAGCTCCGCCCTCGGGCCGCGCGGTCACTGGCGCGTCGCGTTCGCCGCGCGTCACCGTGCGCCCGTTGCACTCAGTCCGTGATTGGCGCGACGTTCTTCGCTAATAACTCGTCAATGGAGCCTCGTAGAGAAATTTCGCAAAGGAGAAAGTTGCTCGAAATCGTCCGAGGAATCGTTCGGCATCGTCGGCTCACAAAATTTCCGGGAAATAATGTGCAGATTGGAACCGCGACGCGTGGTAAAACGACGATCGTTGTTCCCCGAGCACCAGTGCGAAACCGTGTCCTAATCCGCCCCTTTTCCGGCGCATTATCTCGCGAGCATAATTACGCTGGTCGTGTAAACGTTACCCGTGGCTCCGGAACTCGGTGCAGGCGCCCGTCAAAGTTGGTTACCCCGGAGCAACCAGGAACAAAGTCAAAGTTTTCGCCGGCGGAAACCCGCCGCCGGGTGAAACGACGTTACTTCTCCCGGGGACAGATTTTGTAACGGACGGAGATCAAAGTTGCCGTTGTATAAATAGTTTTTCGTCCGGCTCGACACAATTAAACCGGCGCTCATCGGGCAATGAACAATGGCCGCCGCTCGAGCAGATTTAAATCCGCGGCATCTTATTCCCGGGATTCCCCGGGACAAGACGTGAGCGCAGTCGTCGGATATCGGCTGGCCTGCGCGACGCCGGGGGAGGCCCTTATCGGAACGCTAAACGCGGAGGCAATATCGACGTCGACGGTCGGATCAAAGCGCGGATCGTCGCGCGTTCAAAGCGAAAGAATGGTATCCTGTTTCCTCGGGGAATTCGAATTTTCTCTCCGAGATTCACTGCGTTACATTTTCAAGCGGCACCGCGTGTCCATTGGACGCGACGATTCCGAGCGGCGACCCGTATTGTATGCAAGAACGAAGCCGTGCTTCCGAGTGCCGGATCGAGCTGTAATTCGGTAGGTGTTGCGATATCGTAGAGGAGAATAACCGTGTAAAATTTTAACCTCGGGGATTCACTAGTTCCGGAGATACAGGGCCGAGAATGTGAGGACTTTGGGCTGGCGTAAGGATGAGGCTACTGATGGGCTCCGTGGTGGGGGAAGCTTGCGCGATCAGCGAGGTCCGGTAAAGTGGATCTGCTTGCCGAAATTGGTTTAGTAACCTACGAGAGTGAATCTCAGTGTACAGATATGATAAATAAGTTACTACAGTACTGTGTTAATTTCTGATGATGAGTATACTCGTCGATAACAAAGTAAAAGTCGTTTTATTTATTAATATTTATTATTTTAATGTCCATTTATTAATTTAATATTTATTTATTTATTAATATTTATTTATAAAATTGATAATTTTATTAGTAATATTTACTTATTTCTTTAAATTACAATTTTAAATAATTATAAATACAAATCACTAAAATTACAATTTAAATAGCCAATAGTCAATACTTTTTATGCACTTTAAATGACACAAAATACTGTCATTTCTACATGACGAGTATACTCGTCAAGCATAATTAAATAATTCAATGGCCAATAGTCACTACTTTTTAGATACGACGAGTATATTCGTCCTGACACAAAATATTGCTATTTCTTCGTGACGAGTATACTCGTCAAGCATAACTAAACGATTAAATAGCCAAAAGTCGCCATTTTTTTAGACATGACAAGTATACTCGTCCTGACACAAAATACTGCTATTTCTCTATGACGAGTATACTCGTCAAGCATAACTAAATGATTAAATAGCCAATAGTCGCTATTTTTTAGTCACGACAAGTATACTCATCCTGATCCAAAATACCGCCACTTCTTCGTGACGAGTATACTCGTCCCTACCTTTCCTTCTCTTCGATAATATATTCTCACATCCATCGATTAGTTCGTCACGTATCCCACGCATTCAATTGGCAACCGAGATTCCTAACCTCGAAAAATGGGGCGCTAACGAATGGGACGGCGCTCGTTAATAGAAGCCGCTCGTAAAAGAGCGACGACCGATCGGCGCGGCCGAAAACGCTAAGTAACTTTGACGATATCGTTGCCGGTCGCGGTTCCCCGCACCTGCGGCCCCCTCTTGTTGTCTTTTTATCATCGCGCCCGGGATCCTCGGTTTTTACGAGGCCGCGCCGGCAAGTTTTTATTCGGAACGCTTTATATTTTATATCCAATCAGCCGGTTGCGGGGCTTTCACGCGCCGGGGCCAGCGTAAATGGATATTCCGGTGGTGTTCTTCCCCCTCCACCTCATCCCCGCTCCCCACTCTTGTGTTTTCGCATACGCGTCGAGCGGTGCCGCAGGCACTCTCGCATGCGACTCGCGCAGGTGAGACGAATGGCGGAGCCTGAAGAATGCCGGGGGACAAAAGGAGCCCAGAAGTATAACGCGCGTGACTCGCCGGGACTCACGTCGTCGGTGCCCGGTGTACCAACGGGGCCCCCGGTCCTCGCCGCTGCTAAATTAAATTCTAATAAAGCTCGCCGAAGTGCCGGGGAAAAAGCGGCTCGGTCGTTTACGGGGAACAATGGCCTTCGCTGGAAGGCGTCGTCGGCACTGCGCGTCCGGCCGACGCGGACCACGGATAATTATATCGAGGCGGCAGCCCGGAATCCCGCAGAAAAACTTGTCTTCGGGCCTGACCAGGGACCCGAACGCCGCCTTCGAGCACGGCTAACTAACCCGAGCCCGCGGCCTCTCCCGCTAGGTGTGTCGTCCTTCCGAGACGCGTCCGCCGCAGAAAAAAGGCGGCGCGGTTGAACAGCTTCTACTCCGGTTGCGCCCCCCCACCTCCCCCTCCACACCGTTGGGTTCGTGAAATTCGCCAGGAGGATATCTGTCTTTAGGAGAATAAAATTTTTGCCGAATTTAGGACAATATATATGAGGTGTATGAAATATATGAAATATATAGAAAATATAAATGATATAGAAAATATAGAAGACATAGAAAATACAGAAAGTATAGAAAATATAGGAAATATAGAAAGTATAGAAAATATAGAAAATATGGAAAGTATAGGAAATATAGAAAATATGGAACGTATAGGAAATATAGAAAATATAATAAGTATAGGATATATAGGAAATATAGTAAGTATAGGAAATATAGAAAACATGGTAAGTACAGGTAATATAGAAAATATAGGAAATATAGAAAGTATAGGAAATATTGAAAATAAATATAGAAAATATAGAAAATATAGAAAGTATAGGAAATATAGAAAGTATAGGAAATATAGAAAATGTAGAAAGTATAGGAAATATATAAGAAATACGGAAAGTATAGGAAATATAGAAAATAAAGAAAATAAATATAAAAAATATAGAAAATATAGAAAATAAATATAGCAAATATAGAAAATAAAGAAAATAAATATAAAAAATATAGAAAATATAGAAAATAAATATAGCAAATATAGAAAATATAGAAAATATAGAAAATCTATATAATATAATCTACACAATATATAATACAAAAAATATATGTAAAATACGTAAAATCAAATGACTCGTTAAGCATGAAATCCTCTTCGCCGCGATTGCGACTGGGTTGTTTCGCATGGGAACGTGAAAGACGTAGCCGCGACGGCTCGATTCCAGAAACGTGAAACGGTCGGCGGACCTGGCATGCATTATCCTAATGTTTTTGCTGGTCGATTGGCGCTGGAGTTTACGTAAAGTTATCGCGTTTTCAGGACCGGCACGTGAAGGATGCCAGCAAGGACCCGGAGATGGACTCGAGCCAGGACTACTTCCTGCTACTGGGTTACGAGAACAAGACGCACACCGTTCTACGTTTCTTCAGGCGGTACGATACGTGCGACCCGCGGGACTTCAAGATCACGGTAGGTGGCTTTGATTTATGTTGCCTCCGCCGCGAGAAGATAATTCCCGGTGTCCGTGCGAAGTGCTCGCCCGAGGATCCCTTGATGGATTTACGGGAAACATTGATCGGCCGCGATGCTGACCGATCCCGGGCCGCGAATTATTTATCGTAGCCTCTTCGGCAAATTGAACAGTGCGGATCCGCTCAGATTAACCTCTTTAACCCGGCGATTTCGTTAGCTGCTCGCCGCGTAAAATTCTACGCTACCGCAACGATCGGAATCGGCGCTTATGGCGGTCGTTGCACGTTCTGATTAATTTCGGTGCTCGTCAACGTTTAATAATTATAACAATTAATAAATAATTTGTTAATATTCTACAGTTTCCTTTCCTTTTTATTTTTCTACTTCGTCGAACTTCGACTACATAATTTTGCCATAAATTTATAAGTATCTACAATATCTAGTTCCGAGCATTGGTTGATTCTGAGTTAAATTTGAGTTAGGTCGAGGTTAGATCTCGAGATTCTCGCGGTTCTCGCGGAAACTAAAGCAGCGGTGCATTTTTCACAAAGGAAACAGTTGTTCAAAATGAAGCCCTTCGCCACATATTTCGAGTCTATCGAAATCGACGGTGATTAGGTCAAGGTTAGGTTCAAGGTTAGGTCTAAGTTAAGTCTAAGTTAGATCTACATTAGGTCTCGGTTAGGTCTAGGTTAGGTCTAGGTCAGGTCCACAGTTTTTCCTGAATATCTCGGAAACGGAAGCAGATCGAGATCTCGCGCGAAGGAAAAAGTTGTTGAAAATACCGAGCTGCACAACATATTTGAATGCCATCCTAATCGAAGAGTATATCCGTTCCGCTCCTAATTACCCGTTCATCAACAATTCCGCGTGCCTTGATAAAACAAATTCGCGATCTTCCCGACAGGAACGCCGATATTTCTGCTTGCGAATCCGTCATTAAAGAAATTAAGGATCGCGTGTCGCCCCGCATTGTCTGCGAGCGCAAATTATCGCGCGGCGTCCGGGCGATTCAAACGAATGCGCGCGAGATACGCGTTTCAGCGACCGGTTCTCAGACGACGAGGCGCGTCTTCCGGCGCGCAGTCGCGATCACGCGATATTGTCTCTCGGCGGGAACGAAAAAATGTTCCGCGAGCCTGGCGATCGTGCGCGCGGACATAATTCGAGCACGGAATGTTCCCGCGCCGACGAAAGAATCCGTCGCGCGCGTCGGGAACCGTGTGGCCGCGCGAGCCGGCGAAACTTTAAATTAACCTGCAATAGCTGGCGGCTGTTAGCCGCGCCAACTCCGATCCGCGGGCACAGCCGCGGACATAATAGTTGCATTATCGCTGCCAAACGGCGTTTCCTGGCTGGCGTTTAGNAATAAATATAAAAAATATAGAAAATATAGAAAATAAATATAGCAAATATAGAAAATAAAGAAAATAAATATAAAAAATATAGAAAATATAGAAAATAAATATAGCAAATATAGAAAATATAGAAAATATCGAGAATGTAGAAAATTTTAAAGATATAGAAAATAAATATAGCAAATATAGAAAATATAGAAAATATAGAAAATCTATATAATATAATCTACACAATATATAATACAAAAAATATATGTAAAATACGTAAAATCAAATGACTCGTTAAGCATGAAATCCTCTTCGCCGCGATTGCGACTGGGTTGTTTCGCATGGGAACGTGAAAGACGTAGCCGCGACGGCTCGATTCCAGAAACGTGAAACGGTCGGCGGACCTGGCATGCATTATCCTAATGTTTTTGCTGGTCGATTGGCGCTGGAGTTTACGTAAAGTTATCGCGTTTTCAGGACCGGCACGTGAAGGATGCCAGCAAGGACCCGGAGATGGACTCGAGCCAGGACTACTTCCTGCTACTGGGTTACGAGAACAAGACGCACACCGTTCTACGTTTCTTCAGGCGGTACGATACGTGCGACCCGCGGGACTTCAAGATCACGGTAGGTGGCTTTGATTTATGTTGCCTCCGCCGCGAGAAGATAATTCCCGGTGTCCGTGCGAAGTGCTCGCCCGAGGATCCCTTGATGGATTTACGGGAAACATTGATCGGCCGCGATGCTGACCGATCCCGGGCCGCGAATTATTTATCGTAGCCTCTTCGGCAAATTGAACAGTGCGGATCCGCTCAGATTAACCTCTTTAACCCGGCGATTTCGTTAGCTGCTCGCCGCGTAAAATTCTACGCTACCGCAACGATCGGAATCGGCGCTTATGGCGGTCGTTGCACGTTCTGATTAATTTCGGTGCTCGTCAACGTTTAATAATTATAACAATTAATAAATAATTTGTTAATATTCTACAGTTTCCTTTCCTTTTTATTTTTCTACTTCGTCGAACTTCGACTACATAATTTTGCCATAAATTTATAAGTATCTACAATATCTAGTTCCGAGCATTGGTTGATTCTGAGTTAAATTTGAGTTAGGTCGAGGTTAGATCTCGAGATTCTCGCGGTTCTCGCGGAAACTAAAGCAGCGGTGCATTTTTCACAAAGGAAACAGTTGTTCAAAATGAAGCCCTTCGCCACATATTTCGAGTCTATCGAAATCGACGGTGATTAGGTCAAGGTTAGGTTCAAGGTTAGGTCTAAGTTAAGTCTAAGTTAGATCTACATTAGGTCTCGGTTAGGTCTAGGTTAGGTCTAGGTCAGGTCCACAGTTTTTCCTGAATATCTCGGAAACGGAAGCAGATCGAGATCTCGCGCGAAGGAAAAAGTTGTTGAAAATACCGAGCTGCACAACATATTTGAATGCCATCCTAATCGAAGAGTATATCCGTTCCGCTCCTAATTACCCGTTCATCAACAATTCCGCGTGCCTTGATAAAACAAATTCGCGATCTTCCCGACAGGAACGCCGATATTTCTGCTTGCGAATCCGTCATTAAAGAAATTAAGGATCGCGTGTCGCCCCGCATTGTCTGCGAGCGCAAATTATCGCGCGGCGTCCGGGCGATTCAAACGAATGCGCGCGAGATACGCGTTTCAGCGACCGGTTCTCAGACGACGAGGCGCGTCTTCCGGCGCGCAGTCGCGATCACGCGATATTGTCTCTCGGCGGGAACGAAAAAATGTTCCGCGAGCCTGGCGATCGTGCGCGCGGACATAATTCGAGCACGGAATGTTCCCGCGCCGACGAAAGAATCCGTCGCGCGCGTCGGGAACCGTGTGGCCGCGCGAGCCGGCGAAACTTTAAATTAACCTGCAATAGCTGGCGGCTGTTAGCCGCGCCAACTCCGATCCGCGGGCACAGCCGCGGACATAATAGTTGCATTATCGCTGCCAAACGGCGTTTCCTGGCTGGCGTTTAGGGCCGAGACGATCGGACAGTTTAAACGTTCGGCGAACACACTTAATCGATCGGGCCGCGGCGGTTATCAAAGCGACGGGAGCGCGACTCGACGAGAAAATCGAACGCGAACTTTGTTCGACAGTTCGCCAGCCGGAACCTTCGATGCCGCGGCGGCGACGATAAAACCGAAGGACGTTCCGCGTTACTTTTCACGGTCTTTCTGCGGTACTATCGGCCACGGATTCCTAATTAATGATCTCCATATGGCGGGCGACCGTTCACACTGTTGCAACCGCTGGCGCCCGAACGAGGATCGCGTTTTTTCGCCTGCCGAGATTAATTTCCACGGAATCGCGGACGGTTTCTTTACTGGGAAAAATTCACGGGGCGGTGTTATTGGAAACGGGGTTTGGACTTGTGTGTTGAACGATAATTTATGATTTAACGGTGGGTCTGGCAACGAGGAACTTTGATATTGTGAAATGGGAAGACTGGATATTACGGATGCGACACCCTATATATGCGAAGAAGCCGTGTTTGTCGTATTGAAAATTGCGAAGTTTGACGAGATGCATGAACTCTGCAAAATTTTTTCCAGGAACGCCGTTTACAGAGAAAGGAAGCTCGATTCTTCCTCTTTAATTTGAGAGAAAGGAATCGCGACTGCGATTTTTTCTCGCGAAGTTACGTCGCTTTGAAGTGACATGTCATCGAGGCACGACGAAAATGCAAGGGTCGCTACGAAGTGCTGTAACTTTGCGACAAAAAATCGCAGTCGTGTTTCTTTTCCTGCGGATTAAAGAGGAAGGATCGAGCTTCATTTCGATCGAAACGGCATCCTCGAAAGAAATTTTACGAGGTCCGTGCATTTCGACAAAGTTTATTAATATGACGAACGGGGCTTCGCATTTAAAGGGTTGTTGCGGCGAGCGTGCGCGTAATTTAAAATTGAGAACGAGCAGCTTGAAGTAGAGATTTCGGGCTTTACTTTGACATAAAGGTCATCATTCTGCGACGATTTTTCACGGAGTTATTATCTGTCAATGTTGGCCAATTTTTATGTGAAATCGCCAGGAATCGTCAAACACAGCTAACTGGTTAAATAGGCAATGGTCAGTACTCTTGCGCATGACGAGTATACTCGTGGTGAGATAGAATACTGCGAATTGTCTGTGACGAGTATACTCGTCGTGACGCAAGATATTGACATAGCTTCGTGACGAGTATACTTGTCAGACACAGCTAAATGATTAAATAGTCAATGGTTATTTCTTGCGCATGACGAGTATACTCGTCGTGACATAGAATACTGCGAATTGTCTGTGTCGAGTATACTCGTCGTGACGCAAAATATTGACATTTCTTCGTGACGAGTATACTCGTCGTGATACAAAATACTCTAAGTTCTCCGTGACGAGTATATTCGTTGTGACGCAAGATACTTTCAATTCTCCTTGACGGAAAATATTGGCATTTTTCTGTGACGAGTATACTCGTCACGACGTAAAATACTGTCAATTCTCCGTGACGAGTATAGTCGTCAAGGTGCAAAATACTGTGAATTCTCCATGACGAGTATACTCGTCACGACGCAAAATACTGTCAGTACTCCGTGTCGAATATGCTCGTCCTGACGCAAAATACTGTCAGTACTCCGTGTCGAATATGCTCGTCCTGACGCAAAATACTGTCAGTACTCCGTGTCGAATATGCTCGTCCTGACGCAAAATACTGCCACTTCACCATGACGAGTATACTCGTCAAACACAAGTTAAATACCACTCTATAGTACTCACAACCGAAGTCATGCTTTCAAACCACCCTCCGTACCTCGACGCCCCCCACCGGTTCTGCCTTTTTCCGAGTCCCATCGGTCGTTCCATTATCCCCCGTAACGCCGTCGTTTTTATTGTAATTCCTTGCCGCTTTCCGGAGCCGACAAAGGGAGGGGAAAAAAGCCCGACAATGGCCCGCGGCTATCTGATCGTGGCCCCCGGCCTCGCGGAAAAATAGATTCCTCGTCGAATGAAATTCGTGTAATCTCTCCGCGGTATCTGATGACAACGAGGATGGAGGGGGAGGGGGTGGCGGTTGGGTTGGAAGAAACAGTCGCTCGATAAGGGATCGCGACGGCGCGACAAGAAACACGGGTGGTCGGAATTGCTTTCGGCTGTGTGTTCGATTACCTGCGGATCATAAATCATAATCGCATTCCGCGCACGAACTCGGCTAAACCTCGTTACGAGCTATAAACTTCCGTGTGTGACTTTGATGTAACACCGTGATGTGTGGCTGGCGCGTCCCGGGACCCGGGCTGCCGTCCGTGAGATCGTTCGCCGGATCAGTTTTATTAATGGTGGGCCGGTGGATCGCGATCGGCAAGACTACGACAGGCCCGTCAACTTCCGTAAGATTAATGTCGACGGACTCCCCCCACTCCGCCCGCACGACGCTCGTTGCGTGAGACGCGCGCGCCGTTCTTTTCCTGGCCCCGCGGCCTTCTTCGCCACGGTTAGAGAGTGGAGGGGGGAGGGGCGGCCACGCGGCGAAACCGGGTCGCGGCCACGTTTTTGCATATAAAACCGCAATTAATGATAATGGAAATTGTTTCCTCGGCAGAGCAGTAACGCATAATCGTTATAAGCCCGGCTTAATCTGGCCATTCGGTGTTTCAATAAAGAACGAACAGCGCGCGCGCCCGCGGGAGGAACGGTGTACGCGTCCACGTATCCGGGCCGCGCGAATTTGTACGTTCGAATGCTCGCCCCGGCCACCAACGACAAAGAAAATCCCGCGGAGGATCAAACGATTAGCCGGTCGTTCGCCGTATCGGGACAACGCTCGACGTCGATTAAACGCCGTTACATTTTTCAGCGTTAAACGGAAACGGAACGGCCACTCTGCGGGCCCGTTTCCACGGGAAACGAGCGCTAATTGTCGCAGATAACCCGCGAAACAAGACGCCGCTCGAAAATGATACAGCCGTCCTAAGACGGCGGCTGCATTTTTAATTTTGCCGTCCGTTGCAAACGCGTTGTAATTTATAAATAATTATTCTTCGTTATTCTTCGTTAATATTAAATTAACTTAACTCTCATTTATTCCTTTGTTAAGAAGTTGTCGACTGTAATACTGTGTTTATATAGAATAATAATTCTTGTTACACTTGGAAGTTTTTCTGAGTAAGCGAGGTGATTCTTGAGATGATTTAGAGCAACTTTTTCCTTTGCAGAAATTTTTTCCAACGCTTCGTTAACGAGATATTAATGAACAAAGTGCGGACCAATTGGAGCGCGAGTGTAGCGGACGCCGCCCCCGCGGGCGACGCGGTCACTGCCGCGTCGAGCTCGCGTATCGCGTCACTGCTCGTCCGCTGCGCTCGCTCTACGATTGACCCGTCTTTTCCTTCAAATAACTCGCAAACGTAGCCTCGTAGACAATTTTCGCAAAGGAGAAAGTTGCTCGAAATCACCTGTGGAGTCTTCCCGTGCTGGAATTTTTGTGATACTTTGTACTTGAACTCACGGCTTCAATATTTTGTCTTTTACACTGTGACTTTTCTCATAAACGCATAGAGATCCCCGTTCTAATAATTAACTTTCATCGTTAGCAACAATACATGCCAAAAATAATGTTCAATATTTTATTAG